TCTGACTTTTGTTCTTGAAGGTCTGAATTAATGGAACAACAAAAGAATTCTACAGATCAATTTGATCAACTGCATGTTGTTTGTTTCTAACACCACCCAAACAGTTTGGTTTATTTTGATCACACTCAATACCTGCATAACAAATCCATGTTGTTTGACACTTATATAGACAAGTGTTTGTCAGGGCTTGTAGAAAATTATAGACAAAATTATTGATTAACAATCTATAGCAAGCAACTGACAATCATATCATGTAGAACAGATCAATTCAATTATGACTTTTATAATCAAGTTTATGAAAATTCAGTAACTGGCTTGCTACTGATCAGTCTCTATTCAATGATCAACAGCCGTAATGGCGTAATGGTTGTGTAATGGTCGTTTAACAATCCAGCACAGACAAAAAGCAGAACTGATGAACTGCAATAAATAATTATCCCATAAACTGGATATTATATCCTATCCTCATAGAGCAATCACTAGAGTGTCAGAATTTTATCCCAAGATTCCAATATTTGTTTTCATGAAAAGGATTCCGCTAAAACTTTTCAAAGCGTAAAGTAACTTTGTCATAAAACACAAAATCAATCAATATCTTCTTTCTTTCAATATCAATCCCTGTAAAAATTGATTTAGTCTGAAGCAGGTTTTCTTATTCAAATTCAATGTCAGTCTGAAGCAGCTAGTTTTTAGGTTCAGTCTGCAGGTATTCTTGATTAAATAAATTCAACATTGTTCAGAAAAGAAGAGAAAATGCCAATGTTTATCCTCTAATCTCATTGATGTCTTTAAATCATTCGGAAACAGATCAAAGATCATAATAAGTGCTCTTCTATCTACTCAATTTCCTACCATTTGATGAAGATTCACCTATCCTAAATGTTCAGGTGTAAATCCACTAATGAAAACAATAAAATAACGTTTTATGTCCAATTAGACTAATGATAACTCACTGACCCATTTGAGATAATCTAATTTTGGACAAAAAGTCCTCAGATAAAATTATCTCTGTGATAACAATTAGATATGGGTCAGAGTGGAAAACATCACAATTACTCAGATCTGTCTATATATACAAACTACTAAAATTTTGTTTGTTTTGAAAAAAATAATTCAACAACTCGATTTGCCACTATGTTTCTATCTAGATTTAAAAGTATAACTTTATAGTAGAAAGTTGCTATTGTTCCTATTCAGACATATGACCTTGGCCATACATATTTATTTGTATTGCTGATTCAAGAAAATGGGAAAGTGTTCAAATTTTATGAAAATATTTATTTTTTTTTAGCTTATTTAATTTTTTGCTTTATTTTATTTTAATTTCAGAATTATAATACATTTTTCCTATAAAAAATATGAACACAGTGGTGCTATTCTTTCTTCTCTCTAAAATATCTCGAAGAATTGCATCTATCAAACTTTGCAGTGTCAAATCACACATTTGAATTCAAATGCAATGTCAATCTCGAAATTTCATTTTCAATATACAGCTTGTATTTGTAACTTATTCCAATAGACAATTACTTCATTTTAAAAGCCTCCAAGTATTTGTCAATAAGAATTCATTTATAATTACAAGAGTGCACACGCTGAAATGTCTCGCCTTCTTTACTAATCATTGATATTATGTTGATAGTCCTAAATATAAAGCTTTATTACAACTGTCACATAAACTTAACATTAACCAAGTAACCTTAACATTGACCAATGAACCATGAAAATGAGGTCAAGGTCAGATGAACCATGCTAGGCAGGCATGTACAGCTAACAATTCTTCCATACAACAAATATAGTTGACCTATTGCTTAAAGTTGAAGAAAAACAGACCAAAACACAAAAAACTTAACACTGAGCAATGAACCTTGAAAATGAGGTCAAGGTCAAATAAAACCTGCGTGACTGCCAAATAGATCATAAAATATTTCCATACACCAAATATAGTTGAACTATTGCATATAGTATTAGAAAAAAAGACCAAAACTCAAAAAACTTAACTTTGACCACTGAACCATGAAAATGAGGTCAAGGTCAGATGACACCTGCCCGCTAGACATGTACACCTTACAATCATTCCATACACCAAATATAGTAGACCTATGGCATACAGTATAAGAAAAACAGACCAAAACACAAAAACTTAACTATAACCACTGAACCATGAAAATGAGGTCAAGGTCAGATGACACCTGCCAGTTGGACATGTACACCTTACAATCCTTTCATACACCAAATATACTAGACCTATTGCTTATAGTATCTGAGATATGGACTTGACCACCAAAACTTAACCTTGTTCACTGATCCATGAAATGAGGTCAAGGTCAAGTGAAAACTGTCTGACGGGCATGTTCTGAGGACCTTGCAAGGTACGCACATACCAAATATAGTTGAACTATTGCATATAGTATTAGAAAAAAAGACCAAAACTCAAAAACTTAACTTTGACCACTGAACCTTGAAACTGAGGTCAAGGTCAGATGACACCTGCCCGCTAGACATGTACACCTTACAATCATTCCATACACCAAATATAGTAGACCTATGGCATACAGTATAAGAAAAACAGACCAAAACACAAAAACTTAACTATAACCACTGAACCATGAAAATGAGGTCAAGGTCAGATGACACCTGCCAGTTGGACATGTACACCTTACAGTCCTTCCATACACCGAATATACTAGACCTATTGCTTATAGTATCTGAGATATGGACTTGACCACCAAAACTTAACCTTGTTCACTGATCCATGAAATGAGGTCGAGGTCAAGTGAAAACTGTCTGACGGGCATGAGGACCTTGCAAGGTACGCACATACCAAATATAGTTATCCTATTACTTATAATAAGAGAGAATCTAACATTACAAAAAATCTTAACTTTTTTTTCAAGTAGTCACTGAACCATGAAAATGAGGTCAAGGACATTGGACATGTGACTGACGGAAACTTCGTAACATGAGGCATCCATATGCAAAGTATGAAGCATCCAGACCTTCCACCTTCTAAAATATAAAGCTTTTAAGAAGTTAGCTAACGCTGCCGCCGCCGCCGGATCACTATCCCTATGTCGAGCTTTCTGCGACAAAAGTCGCAGGCTCGACAATAATAAAACACTATATCTATCAAAAGAGGTTATTGATTTCAGTTTTTTATATGTCCATCTAAAGTGTCAAACAAATTGAACGGAATTAAACATTTTACTCCAATCCAATTTATTATATGGATCTTTTGAATATAAATACATTATGAATACCTATTTACATAGAATACAGAGTAAAACTGTTAGTATTAGGTAGTCATAAATTAAAGTGGTCTGATTTTGCAGTCTAGCAAGTTTGGTGGCTTGAGATATGTATATGGTTTTAACGTTACTTTACTCACCCTAGATAAAATTTAAAATGCAAATCCAAATATAGCCTTAAAATTGTTATAATTCAAAATAGTAAATATAAATTGATAGCCGTTCTAAATAAATGATCTTACAATTAATAATCCCCAAGATTACCAATATCATAAAAAAATTATCATTGTATTGAAAATCAATTAAAGCATTAAAATTAGAACTAATAGCAAGTATTTAAAAGAAAAAAGGGATGCATCAGTGAGACATGTATGCAACATCTTAAGAAAAATCTGCCAAAACATATTTTTAGACCTTAATGCAAATATAAGCTGGCCAAGAGTAAACTGTACATATGATGATATAAATGTTCAAGAACCATGTTATGCAATTTATAAACATTATCTAGTAAATTATTATTGTATACCATTATAGATGTCTATAATATGTTAAAAAAAATGTGAAACATATCCCAATTTGAAAAGTTGCTTGAAAAAATATAGGTTATGTTGACCATAGTGTTCTGAAATGATCCATACCAAAGAACATATTGGTTGAAAATTTTATATTCTCAATTTTTAAAACTAATGATCCTAATGCAAGTTTTAACCCAAGTCATTCAAGAATAATATATCAGAGTGATGAAGACGTTATTGTACAGTTATGTACAGTAAATGATATTTGTAGCTTATGTATTTTTATAAGTCTAAAATGTAGGTTAAAGTAATAAAACCTCTATAAAAATATATTGTGCAATTCAATATATTGTATTGTTGAATGCATATGAAATGTCTCTGCAACATGATGGTGTTGTAAGAAGTGTATCGAAACACACAAATTTACAAAGTTTATCAAGAATGATATGTAGGTTAGGGTCAAGTTTGCACATTTATATATTTTGTATGACATAAAATGAAAAAATATCAATGAAATATAGTTTCTACAGCATCACAAATTTGTGAGGATCTTCAACATAGAACCAGGTAAAATGCAAACTAAACACATAGATGGACAAAGGTTCTGATATCTATTTGTCCAAGCTATTATCATGGTTAGACATAAAAAAATATATAGTCCCTTGTAAATTAAAGGATGATCCATGCACATCATTGTGACAGCAACATGACCCAACTGTGACATGCTGACATAAAAATATCTTATGTTGGTTAGTTTACTGCATGATGCGATAAAAATAAACCCACATAAAACTTTTACCTGCAGCTAAAGAAATGGGTAAATATTTTTTCTGTTACTGAACATATTAAATCTGTAAGTCAAATCTAAATGTAGGAACTAAATCTCCATGATCAATTCTATCCTTTACTGTTACTAAAACACCACCAAAAGGTTAAAGGTGAAGGATAAAAGTCAAATCTAAATGTAGGAACTAAATCTCCATGATTAATCCTATCCTTTACTGGTACTAAAACACCACCAAAAGGTTAAAGGTGAAGGATAAAAGTCAAATCTAAATGTAGGAACTAAATCTCCATGATTAATCCTATCCTTTACTGTTACCAAAACACCACCAAGAGGTTAAAGGTGAAGGATAAAAGTCAAAGTTGACAAAAAAGAATACATTTCTGTTTTTTAATTTTTCACAAATTCATAAAAAGCTTCCTGTCCTTCAAGAACATGTGTTTTCAGACAACTTACCTCAGCTTTGGTTTCAAAGTCTTCAAATTCTTTAAACAGAGCTTCAACTTGTGCTACTGATTCTCCAACTTCAGATAATTTCTCCTCTAACCATTTTAATTTTTCTCCTATTGTGTACTGAAACTACAAGGAAAAAGACAATGAAAATTGTTGTTTGCCTATGATGGTGGTATGTTTGTACTTGTTTCTTGAAAATCATATAACACATCATTCTGTTACCACTTTTTAAATTCGTAATATTTAATTGATTATAAAAAGCCAGTAATTTCATATCATAAAGTAGTAATAATTGGTACCTTAAGAGCTAGAAAAGGCTAGATTCTTTAAAATATTCCATCCATATAAAACAAGATAAATTTTCATTATTTTTATATAAGGATATCTTTTTATGAATAGAGAAAGTATTTCCCAAATTTAATCATAAAATTATATCCTGCTTTCAAAAAAAGAAAGGGGAAGTTGAAATGGACACATAACAGGTAAAAAGCCATTTAAAAAAAAATAATTGCATGCTCTGAAAATAAATTTAGACATATAAGGGAGATAATTCAAACTAAACACTAAAGATTACCACAGTAGTTATTTCTGAAAACCTATATTAGCTGCATGTTTTATACAAGTTATAATTACATAAAGTAAATTTCTGTACAAAGCAAATTACACATATTTACATAAGTTGCATTTAATTTACAAACCAGTTTGAATTCGTCTTCAAATTTCCGCAGTTCCAACGTATATTTTAACCTGCTTTCATGCTTTTCCCAGAAGCCCTCAAAATTTGTTTTTGTCTCTGCCAGTTGTACCAAGAGTCTGAAGCAAAAATGGAGTATTTTAAAGAAAATCAAAAGATGTTGGAGAACTTGTCTTATTGTGATGTAGATATGAATTTTTTATTCATATATATATTCAGCAAATTCAAATTAAAATATGAAATAAAAATAATAAAAGAACAAGAACAGAGTTCCAATGTCCCCAGCGTTGCACATATTTTATCTAACCAAGGTACAAGGGCAATAAATAACAAGAACACTTTTTTTTTTGTTCTTTAAAACTTTTTATTAATATCTTAAAGGAAATAAAGGTTTCAGAGCAAATGCAATGTGATTTCCGTTATAATTTATATTTCCAAGGGGCATAACTCGTTAAAAATATTTGATCAGAACTTATTTTCAAAAGTGTCAAAGACATTGCTGATATAAACCTATGATATAAGTTTCATAAAATTCTGGCAAGAATTGAACACACGAGAGCAATAACATTACAATTTAATATATAATCAATATTTTCAATGGGCATATCTCTTAAAAATAATTGATCGGCACTGATTTTTGAACTCTGCAAGAACATTGATGATATAAACCTATCATATAAATTTCATAAAAATCTGGAAAGAATTGTACACATTAGAGCGCTCATAAGGCAATTTTTCATATAATTAATATTTCCAAGGGTCATAACTCTTTTAAAAATTATTGGTCGGCACTGATTTTCAAAATCGTCCAAGACATTGCTAATATAAATCTATGATTTAAGTTTCATAAAATTCTGGCAAGAATTGTACATATGAGAGCACTAACAATGCAATTCTCCATATATATTTATATTTCCAAGGGGCATAACTCTTTTAAAAATAATTAATCAACACTGATTTTCAAACTCGTCCAAGACATTGCTGATATAAACCTATAAGTTTCATAAAAATCTGGCAAGAATTGTACAGGTGAGAGCGCTAACAAGACCTGATGGACGGACGGACGCCCGGTATTTCCATGCCCCCCAAAGTGTTAAGTGGGGTAATAATTACCAAAAACTGACACATGACATTATTTAAAATTTAAAGAATTCCAAAAAATATGCAGTGACATTGATTTTTTGCATTTATCGTTTACTTTGATATCTATTGATAAGATTCCTCAACATTTTTATGAAAATAACTAACCTTTGTAAATTGATAACATGTGTTTGATGTATTAGAGGAGTATGCTCATTATCTCCCTTGATACACTGCAGTAGAGTTTGGCCATGTGTTACAGAGGAATCTAAGTCATCCAACATTTCTCTCCTCCCCAGTTGATGGTCATGGATTAGCTTTTCTACACCTTCCACATTATTTGGGATTTCTGTGTCTGCATATTTCTTAACAAGAACTGTCATAGACGTAGCAATTTTCTCTGTATTGGAGCAGAATTTCTCAACAGCCTGAAAAATTTCAAATCTAAACTTCAAAAGAATCACTTGGATGCTTAAATTGTTATCAGGTGCATTTCTTTTATCCACATTAGACAATGCTAAAGATGATAATAATATTAATGAAACATGAAAGGTAATGTGAACAAAATGAAGTTCTTTTGTTATTACTTTGTAAAATACAGTGGACATCTATCTCAACAGTCACATTATGTCAGAAAAGTAATTTCTTGTATAGAAATTCCCGAATGGGATTATACTGTACACCATTGTAGTATAAAATACAATTTTCAAATGCTTAGGCCACAGCCTAGCTTTCTTCCATTTAAAAAAAAGTTATAGCATATATATCTGTTAAAATAATGTATTATTGAAAAATTGATTTGCACCCTTTAGGAATAGACAAATAAGGATAAAACTGCATACTAAGTACACATAATGCTTTGGGGTTAAGCAGTTTATATTTTTCAAACACTGCATCAATTTGTGCCTTTCATTATCCAAAGATATTTTTTTAAAACAATTTGTGGTCTGATTGTTTTCAACTCTACTTTATATAAAATTCTTTAATATAGTCAAATTTCTTTGCTGTTCTCTTATCTATTTATTTTAATGGCATAAAAAAGTGTCAATACCACATAACGTGAAAAAAAAAGAACACATTGTCCTGGGTAAGTGCAACATCTGAGGAAATATCATGCAAAATCTATTTGGAATACTTTTACTGCCGATTCAAGAGGAATACAATATACTTCCACTTCTGCTTACAATAGTAACAAGAGTGCACACACTGAAATGTCTCGCCTTCTTTACTAACAATTGATATTATATTGATAGTCCTAAATATAAAGCTTTACTACAACTATCACATAAACTTAACATGACATGTACATCATAAAATATTTCCATACACCAAATATAGTTGACCTATTGCATATAGTATTAGAAAAAAGACCAAAACTCAAAAACTTAACTTTGACCACTGAACTATGAAAATGAGGTCAAGGTCAGATGACACCTGCCAGTTGGACATATACACCTTACAATCATTCCATACACCAAATATAGTAGACCTATTGCATACAGTATAAGAAAAACAGACCAAAACACAAAAACTTAACTATAACCACTGAACCATGAAAATGAGGTCAAGGTCAGATGACACCTGCCAGTTGAACATGTACACCTTACAATCCTTCCATACACCAAATATACTAGACCTATTGCTTATAGTTTCAGAGATGTGGACTTGACCACCAAAACTTAACCTTGTTCACTGATCCATGAAATGAGGTCGAAGTCAAGTGAAAACTGTCTGATGGGCATGAGGACCTTGCAAGGTACGCACATACCAAGTATAGTTATCCTATAACTCATAATAAGAGAGAAATTAACTTTTTTTTCAAGTAGTCACTGAACCATGAAAATGAGGTCAAGGACAATGGACATGTGACAGACGGAAACTTCGTAACATAAGGCATCTATATACAAAGTATGAAGCATCCAGGTCTTCCACCTTCTAAAATATAAAGCTTTTAAGAAGTTAGTTAACGCCACCACCGCCAGATCACTATCCCTATGTCGAGCTTTCTGCGACAAAAGTCGCAGGCTCGACAAAAACTAGAAGTAGTCAACTAATTCTGGTGGAGAAATGTAATTTTCCACTTAAAGCAGAAACAGATTATATATATTACAAGAAGACAAAAAGACTACAGCTTATTTTTCATGGTTCTATTTATAAGGGAAGAAAGATACACATCCCCACTGTTGTTCATTTCCCTGTCAATATATGAATCTATACAAATATCCACTTATCCAAACAAAAATTTTGCAAGGTGAAGGTTAGTAAAAATGGTACTATATTTTGGAAAGACATACTAATAAATTATGTTGAATGAACATTAACCAATTTCCTATTTAAGAGCGAAATAATGTTGCATGAACATTAACCCTTTTCCTTTCAAGAGCTTAACTTTTTCTGATACAGCTTTTTATGATGCAAATAATCTAGATTTATGACAACAAAGATCAATATGCATTATGTTTTAGTTACTTGACTTCATTATTTATTCATAGCTTAAAACCACAATCAATACAAAATTAATGGAATAGATTATGTATGTTATGCATGCAAAGAAAACAACACATTAAATTCCAATTTGGCTCATCCACATTGATTTAAACTGAAATATCTTTCAAAACTGATGGACTAGTATCATAATTTTTTTGGAAGATTTATGTAATACCAGTATTGGATTTCATAAAAAAAGGGGATTTTGTAATAAATTTTACACAGTAAAATACTTATTTTAAATCCAGAGTTATCTCCCATACACTGTGTAAAATTTTAATGTCAGATAATGGTCCAAAGTTGTAACTTTGAAATGCAACGATAAAAATATATCTAAAAATATATTAAATATTTACATGTATTGACCTGAATCATTTTCTTTTAGATGGTATGAATGAAATCAAAGAACACTTATATCATGTACCTTATCTGTGACCCTGGTCAGACAAAAGACTTTGCAAATGTCTATGCTTTTTTAGCAAAGATATATCCCTTTATCAGGGTTCACTTAAAAAGTCCATTTAATTTCAATCTGGTATTTTTTCCAGATAACCCTATACCCCTTTTTTGTTTTCTTTAATGGGACTTTCCCATTAGCCTAAAGGATCATGTCATTCATGACATCTATGTTGAGAAACTGAATTATGTTTCACATACAAAGTAAATATGAAGTAACATATGAAATGCCTATAAGCTAATTGGTAAAAGTTACCAACAGATCTCTAACATAGTGTTACTCAAAAGTATGCGATCCTATAAATGGAACATAGAATCCCAGTTACAGGATACCCGTCAAGCACCAACGAATAAAGTCCCTTTATAAATAAAAAGGGATATTGTACAGAGATGAAAATTATGTAAAGATGTTTAAATTTGTAATATATTCATAGGGTATTTATTAAACTTTCAACTTCTGTTAAATTTCATGTGATTCTGAAATGTAAAGTGTGGATGATTGTCTCATTAAATAGTCCAAATATAAAAATTATGAGATGTGGTATGATTGCCAATGAGACAATTATCCCCAAAGCTCAAATGAAGTGGATGTTAGCAATTATAGGCAACAGTACTGCCTTCAACAATGAGAAAAACCCAATCCGTATAGTCGGCTATAAATGGCCCTGACATGAAAAATATGAAACAATCAATTGAGAAAACTAACGGCCTAATTTATAACAAAACAATTTACGAAAAACAAATATGACAGACATGAACAATTGACAACCACTGAACTACAGGCTCCTGACTTGAGACAGGCACATAAAGAATGTGGCGGGGTTAAACATTTTTGTGAGCGCTCAACCCTCCCCCTAAGTTTGTTTTAGATTTCAAACAGGAAGTGAATAAAATGACCCTTTTAATACTCAATACAGTTTTCCTCTCTTAAATCTGGTCATGACCCTTCCAGAATTCTCCAAGAAACAATGAAAGGGCTACTAGTATAAATAAAATGATCCGCTGGGCGCAGCTTGATACGACCGCAGAGGTCGAACCCTGAATAGTTGGGGCAAGTATGGACACAACATTCAAGCTTGATACAGCACTGAATTTGGATTGTGATTAAATATTTGACACAGCATAGGTTTCTGATACAGAATGAATGTGGTCTAAGAACTTAAAATTTTTTAATTTACCTATTCAAACCATATCATTATTATTTGCTTTTATATATAAATCAGAAATAACCAATTTAAAATGGAAATATTAAAGAAAAAAAAAGAAAAAAAAAAATCCCCCCTCAAATTTTTTGAACCCCCTTATGATTCATCACCCCCAAACTCAATCCCAGCCTTCCTTTTGTGGTATGGTACCTTGCAGTACAAAATTTCAGAGAGATCCGTACACTTGAACACAAGTTATTGTTTGGAAACTAGAAAAATGCTTGTTTTTGGCCCTTTTTTGGCCCCAAATTCCTAAAAGTTTAGGGCAATTACCACCAAACTCAAACCCAGCTTTCCCTTTGTGATATGGAACCTTGTAGTACAATTTCATAAAGATCCATACACTTACACACAAGTTATTGTCCTGAAACTAGAAAAATGCTTGGTTTTTTGCCTCTTTTTTGCCCCTAATTCCTAAAATTTTGAGGCTATTACCCCCAAAATCAATCCCAGCCTTCCCTTTGAGGTATGGTACCTTGCAGTACAATTTCAGAGAGATCTGTACACTTGAACACAAGTTATTGTCTGGAAAATAGAAAAATGCTTGTTTTTTGGCCCCTTTTTTGGCCCCTAATTCCTAAAATTTGAGGCAATTACCCCCAAAATCAATTCCAGCCTTCCCTTTGTGGTATGGTACCTTGCAGTACAATTTCAGAGAGATCCATACACTTGAACACAAGTTATTGTCTGGAAACTAGAAAAATGCTTATTTTTGGCCCCTTTTTGGCCCCTTATTCCTAAACATTTTGGGCAATTACCCCCAAACTCAATTCCAGCTTTTCCTTTGTAATATGGAACCTTGTAGTACAATTTGAGCAAAATTTTTTTGCGGTCGTATAAAAAGTAATTGAAATTTGGCAGTCAAATATAGGGAATAAAAAATCTCCCCTGCAATTATGATAAAATTGAAATAAAGTAAAGGGGGAAATAATTGGTGCTGTTCCATATATTAATTTAACCTACAGATCTATGTTGTGTCCATTCATTTGGATCATAAACCAAATCTCCACCCACTTCTTTGGTCAACTGTTGAGCGTCTATATGTTCATATAACTCATTTGGTTCATGTAAAAGAACAACCTGAAAAGAAGAAAAAAAGAATGAAATAACAAAACTATATTTAGTAAGAGGTTTATTCTTTTCTTCTTGTTAATGGTTTTGGACCTTTACCTCGTATTTAAAGTCATAGAAACATCTTATTATGTTCAGACATACTAAATACTCATTTAGGACTACACTTGAAACATAATACACTGCAATCAGATTTGTTATATGTTAAAAAATACAAATTGATTTATGAAAAGAAAGATATTTAAAAAATATTCTGAAGATTTATAGCCAAAAATTGCTTCTTTGTGATTTATGAAAGTTTGTTTACAAGACCCATCAAATGAGATTTTGAGGAAGTTAAGCACTATTTTCAAAGTGTGGAATTCTCCAGAGGTAGCAATCCACTATTAGGCAATAAACCTGGAATGACATTTTTTGTAGAAAATGAATTACATGTATGATTCAGGATATATACCATATCAACCTCGTTAAATTTAAGGTTAAACAGCTACTGTGAATTTATTTATTTTCGTGGATATCAATTTTCATGGATGAAGGAAAACTTACAATTTTTGTGGAAACTTGAATTCGTGGTTTTACCTATGTCTGCATACAAGCCTATGAAACATTTGCAATTCGTTTGACATTTAAATTTATGGGTCTCCACTCTCCAGTATCCATGAAACCTACGAAAATCGGTATCCCACAAATAATAATGAATCCACAGTAAACTGTTTTGAAAATAAGAAAATTTGGTTGTACAATCTATTTAAACAAATTTACTACTTAAAATGCCTAGTCATTATTATTCCAGCAATTTGTGTATTATGAAAGGGTTTTTGGTATAGTAAGATATGGAAGGGACTTACTTGACATTTAAAAGTGCGAAGACCTTAAACCTATACATATTTGAACCCTGTTACGTGGATATATGTTTAATGCCCTGAAATTGATTCAAAAGAAGTAAGATTATTTTACTTTTTAATAATTTTGGGATATGCCAGAGCCTGCAACCAGAAGAAGCAGTTTCATAGCTATAAATTCTATATCCGAACCAATATATACAGTTTGATTATTTTTTTCTCTCTCTATGAAAGTAAGAATGAAATTTATATTAACTTGAGAACAAAAATTTGAGAAATCGTTTTTTTTATGCAAATTCTTTTGTCAAGTATCTTTAACATTTGTTAAGGATGTGACATAACAAATACTTACCTTATATTCTAATTCTTCTTTGATAAACTTTGTTTTCATATCAGAAAATGCTCTTTGGAAAAACCCTTTTGGTTGCAGCAGAAACACAACTTGAACATGTTTGGGAAAATATTGCTGTTAATGAGAAAATACAAAATGTGTAAAGAAAATATTCCAACTTCATCTCAAAGTAGCTTTTATATCATTTTATTGGAAATATCATATTCAATATTAAATGCATCTTATATAATAAGACGTTAATATATATTCTGAGTATATTTCAAAATAATGATTGTACCACTAGTCCATCCAAAACAACGTCATTCCAAAAATACATTGAATAGAAATAGTCAGAAAAGAGTATCAGAAATAGTGTGTCTTGTATAATGCACTAACTGGACAGTAAGCTACATAATTGAAGTGTGATTCGAATAGACAATAAAATAACATCCAAGATCTAAATGAGCAGGCAAACCTTAACTTTTTTAATACTGTTATTCATTTAAAACAGCCATGGTTTTCCTACTTTGTTGCAACACTGAAACAGCAATTGATTGACTATGCCATAAAAAGTGCAATGTATATTTGCTGTTATGTTTGATGGTAACCTTTCATTTTTTTCGTGTAAAATACAATTATTCTTTCAAATTACTTTTGGTTTTTGGTTTCTTTCAATCTTCTGAGCTCTTCATTCCCAATGAAGTAGTATTCCTCAATATTGTGTGATTACCCTTTTATGGTTTTAAAACATCAAATATTTCAGATGAAACAAAATAACGATATACACTGATGTTTTTCATCATTAATCATCAGAGATGTGTTAGTTCTGACACTTAATCACATTATAATATAACCAGACACTTTGCTCAATTCTTTCAAACTAGTTTACATCAATAGCAAAAGAATCTCTCATTCCCCAATGCTTTTCTATTGTTTACTTGCAAAAAGTGATATTGGTTTTTAGATTCCAGGCCTCCTTAGAGCCTACTTGATGTTCAGGGCCAAATATGTGTGAATATATTTTTTAATAAGCAATATATTCATGTTTAAAGTATTGCTTACATGAAAGACCAATACAAATATCTGTATTTCATTTTGAACCAGTATGTTTGATTTTACAAAATAATCTCTCGAAAAAAAATCACCACTATATTATAAAAGCTGTTGTAAGTACATTGATAGTAATTTTTTTTAACAATATGCTTACTAAATTACTACAGTTACTAGTATTTTAACTTATTATATGAAATTCTTGTATTTGTGAACTGGAACTTGTGATTTCAACAGATACCAGAACTTCATAAAAGCTTACATTTATTTTGAGAAGTAAATTTTTCACATCACCCCAGCTTTCATTTCTTCTGTCTATAACTATAACAAATCCAAGTTCTGTTTCATGTAACCTGCAATATTACAAATTAACAATTAACTTACCAAGCATGTGTATTATACAAACAAAGATAAAGGGGCTCTTTTTCATATACAATTGTAGAATCATGGGCTCAATGTGTTTCTCATCAGATAGTTCTTTTGAGATAATTCTGTAACCAATTTCATACAAAACAAGCATTCTGAGAGTATTGCATGACCCCCTACCGGTTAAAAAATCATTGTATTGGAAAAAAATGCTAACTTGATCTAGAACTTGTCATGGTGTAAACTATATAACAAATATCAAGTCAATATCTTCAAGCATGACGAAAAAAAGTGTTGAAAACTGATTATATAAGTAAATTTTCTAAGTCCAAGGACCATAACTCTGCACAAAATCATTACATCGGAACAAAATTGGAACTTGATCTGTAACTTGTCACGATAAAACTATATTCCAATTATCAAATCAATATCTTCAAGCATGACGAAAAAAAGTGCAGAAAACTAATTATTTGAGTGAATTTTCTAAGTCAAAGGACCATAACTCTGCACAAGATCATCAGACCAGAACAAAATTCGAACTTGATCTGTAACTTGTCATGATAAAACCATACATCAATATCTTCAAGCATGAAGAAAAAAAGACAGACAGACAGACAGACAGACAGACAGACAGACAGACAGACAGACAGACAGACAGACAGACAGACAGACAGACAGACAGACAGACAGACAGACAGACAGACAGACAGACAGACAGACAGAGTGCAAACCTAAAGTCCCCTTCGACTTCGTCGGTAGGGGACTAAAAATGCTAACAAGAAGTATAAAAGAGTTTTGTTCACAAATTTTAACCCCATCTCACATTTCCGACAGAGAGCCAAAATATGTATAACATCAAACACAATATCACATTATGTATGCATCAACTTGAGAGGAAACTACAAGCATCTGGCAAATATGATAAAACTTTCAGTGGTACACAACTAAGATAACAAATAAACTTACAGTGGTTCCCATAAAAGATAAAAAAAACTTGCAGTTATACACTTACAATACAACAAACAACTTTCAGTGGTACACAACCAAGATAACAAACAAATCTTACGGTGGTACAAAAAAAACTTATGATGGTACACAACAAAGAGTACAAAAAAACTTACGGTGGTACACAACAAAGAGTACAAACAATCTTACGGTGGTACACAACAAAGATAACAACCAATCTTACGGTGTTACACAACATTGATAACAACCAATCTTATGGTGTTACACAACATAGATAACAACCAATCTCATGGTGTTACACAACAAAGATAACAACCAATCTTATGGTGTTACACAACAAAGATAAAAACCAATCTTATGGTGTTACACAACACAGATAACAACCAATCTTATGGTGTTACACAACAAAGATAACAACCAATCTTATGGTGTTACACAACAAAGATAACAACCAATCTTACAGTGGTACACAATGATAACAAACAATCTTACGGTGGAACACAACAATGATAACAAACAATCTTACAGTGGTACACAACATTGATAACAAACAATCTTACAGTGGTACACAACATTGATAACAAACAATCTTACAGTGGTACACAACATTGATAACAAACAATCTTACGGTGAAACACATTATTGAACAAAGATAACAAACAATCTTACAGTGGTACACAATAATGATAACAAACAATCTTACGGTGGTACACAACAATGATAACAAACAATCTTACGGTGGTACACAACAATGATAACAAACAATCTTACAGTGGTACACAACATTGATAACAAACAATCTTACAGTGGTACACAACATTGATAACAAACAATCTTACAGTGGTACACAACATTGATAACAAACAATCTTACGGTGGTACACAACATTGAACAAAGATAACAAACAATCTTACATCTCCTTATTTTTATATTGCATTGTTTCACAACAAAGATAACAAACAATCTTATGGTGGTACAATAAAATAAACAAACCTTTAGTTGGTGCACCATAAAGACAAAAAAAAAATAACATGCAGTACACAACAAAAATAACAAATGAACTTACGGTGGTACACAACAAAGATAACAAACAATCTTTTTGTAATCTTCATCGGATATCTCTTTCTGGTCATGGTTTTCTGGAATGGTTAAAACTGGGGCTCCATTTATTGCTTTACCTCCTGAAAACATTGAAAAAAATGTCTTCAATAATTTAAGTTTTTAAATTAATCAGTGTAAAATAAATAACTGTTAATCTTGGCAAAGCATCCTGACAAATATGAGATATAAGTAAAAAAACATCTGATCTAGGGCTTGCCATAGAAAGAAAAGTTGAAACTCTGGATGTCTAGACTGCTTTCATTTATAAAATCTGTAAATGGAAATGAACACTAAATGTCAAATGAAAGCTGTCAGAAGCACATGTTTATGGACACATAATAAACTCAAACCCAAAGAGTAAATTGAAATGAGTATAGAAATATGGTTATCTCTACTTATACTGATCAGCATTACAGAAGACTTAGTTCCCTGTGAAGGGTGTATAAATACACACACATTTCCAGTCAGAATGGTAATATTAAATCTAAGGGTGTGTTATGCCAAAATCATTGCTGGTTAAAGAATCCATGCAACAAGTTCTCTTTGTGGGGTATTCATAAGGCTTGTTGGAAGGCAAAATTAAAATGTCTGTCCCTATCCAATATTTCCTTTTTTCCAGTAGCAGTCTTAATTTTGTATCCTGTATCCCAAAAGTCATATCATTAAAAAACTCTGCATTGATTTTTGTTTCAATTTGTGTTCATTCCTAATATACATGAAATATTTTCCACTGGACATTAAGCAAACAACAATCAATAAATGCAATGAATTCACATGTAAAATAATTTCAACAGAAAGATTTTAACTGACAGCATGAAATAAAGTGATCGATTGATTATTGTTTGTGTTTGCTTCTGAGGTAAAGACCTAACCACTAAAGAATGAAACTGAAGTCAAGGCTTTGTGACAAATGTCTTGACAGACCTTTACTACTAAAAACTAATCCACATACCAAATGTATACTAATTTTTGTTAACCTAGGATAAAGTAAGACTAAGTCATTATAAAAGGATTAAAAATAGCTTTCAAGAAGATCATCAGATTAATAATATTTCAATGCAGTTTAGGCATTTAACACATGTACTGGCATCTGTAGTTTTCATTATAGTATTTGATTTTTGTTTCAATAAAATATCAGTTGTTTTAAGCTAGTTTGGTGATTGTTGATGACAAGCAGCTTTGACTGGTTAAATCTGCTGGGTCAATACTTCTTTAAAAACATTTTTTTTTTAACTCTGTGAAATTTTATAACTTTAGAGGTCATTACCTGATACAAAAGCAAATTTTGATTGCAGCAATGGTGCCACATCCAGTACACTGTAGGGACAGAGGGCTTCTCCCATTTCATCTCCTGAAAAAATACAATGTTCATGTGCTTAATTATCATTACTTGACAATTCAAATTCTCAAATGTGTACATAAAAAGCCAAATTTACCTCCACGAGAAAACAAATAGCATGGAAGGAAATAGTGAAGGAGTGCGTACTTTAAAGTACATCTACAATTTGAAAAAGGGAAGACCATTTCCTTTTACAAGGATGACATATAAAAAAACAAATAGTAAATAACTGTCCTAAACATACTGAATTTGTACTTTTGTCAAATGTACTTATTTGTAATTTAGAAAATAACTACATGTAAAGTGTCTTCTTAAATTCAAAGTACCTGGTATACTAAATGTTTTATACTAAAAATATGCACAAAATAACTATCTTTAACAGTAGTTATTGAACATATATTTTGTGCTTGCATTTGTAGCATATAAGTGAAATAGAAATAAACAAATCTAACTTGACAAGAACAATCTCAAGAAGCTCATCTTGGTCAGGGCAAGCAGGATGCAAATAAAACTTTTTGTAATATTTGGGTCAACCAGAAGTTATCACAAGCTTGAGCTGAAGTGCATTATTATTCAATACTGTATAGGAAGTCACAACAAAATGACCACAAGTACAAAATATGTACAATTTTCAAGAAGTCCAAAGGCTATAATTCTGCCAGAAGTGGGTCAACTGGAACTGCAAATCATCATTATATACATTAATATACCAAAAAGTCAGACCAATATTTGGAGGAATAAAGAAAAAGTGTTGACAACTGTTTGATTTCATAATGACAGAAGGACAGACATGGGTAGCACTATATGACTCAGTGGCAGAGGCATAATAAACCACAATATTAAAACAGAATTACTAGAAGTAACAACTAAAAAATCTAGTAATGTATAAATAAACAGAGATATGTCTCATCTGTCAGCATAAAATTCAGAAAAAGACAATCAGATGGACAGCAACATTGCTTATTAATTCAGTCCCTGTACTTAGTGTATCGGGTCTGAAAATGGTCGACAAACTGAGACAGTAATGAAACTTGATAGAAAATATCTTTGTCTATTGTAAGTAGTTCCTGTCAATATAACTTCAGCAGAAAACTAAACATTGAAAATTGCTAATTAATTTAAGGTCACTGGACCATGTCCTAGGGGGCAGGGCCTCAAAATAGTTGTCAAACTGATATGTACTGATAGTAATGCAACTTCATACAAAAGATCATTGATATATCACAAGTAGATCCTATCACAAGAACTTCAGCAGAAAACTTAACATTGAAAATTGCTAATTAATTCAAGGTCACTGGACCATGTCCTAGGGGGCAGGGCCTCAAAACAGCTGTCAACGTGATATGCACTGATAGTAATGCAACTTTATATCAATGATCTATCACAAGTAGGACTCATCAAACTAACTTAAGCAGAAAACTAAACAATTGCTTTGTCGCAGGTGAGACAAAAAAAAACCCTTGTACAAAAGCAAACTTTTTTCAGAACTAGTCTTGAAAGCTAATTTTGATTATTTATGATGTTGGGTTGCTGTCTAATTTTTATATATACCCCACAACTTCATATTGAAATTTTTTTGTGTTTTTCTTCCAAATTCCATGTAAATTTTTGTAGATTGAACAAATTATAGTTCCTTGAAACTGAACATGTATTTCCTTTTCACTGCTTTTCAAAAATAGAAATCTTTTACCCCAATACTACATTTTCCACTTATTATATCATATATCTTAATTGAATGGTATTTGAAAAATAATGGAAATTTATCAGCTGGTTTTTGCTTACCTACGTGCTCAGAAAGCATATTGCTAAACTAAAATCCTCAAGTTTCACAACAACAAACCACAAGTATATGAAATCACATCTTTACTTGTCAATTCATACGTCAATACAAATACTTTGTATTCAGTTTCCTTTCAATGTTTATATTTACAAGTGACGATTCAAACTTCCTAGGTGTATAATTGTCACCTGAGCTGATATATGATACACCTGGAATCCGTTTTATCAGTATAGTTTATATAATACTTAAACACCTCAATGATTAAGATGTTCATACATGTATAAGTACATGCCTATGAATCTACATGTATATTTGGAATAGGATGTGAAGAAATTGCATGCTAATTATATCTCCACACATTCTTGAAACAAGGAACAAAACTCAGAAAATTTAGATCAATTATTGAAACCTGCTGAGGTGAAAGTTTATACCTGTATAAGGTACTTTAATAAGATATAAATTTCCTTGTTTGATAAATTTTCACCTTTTAGAATACAGGTTAAATTTAAGTCCCTGTAGTGTACAATTTATATTTAATGGCAATGTGACAAACTATCTTAAAAGGAATTTCCTGAACATTTAAGGAACTACTTCATTAATTTCCACTCATGTATATTTTTTGTATATGCAAACATTTTTATGTATTATCCTGTATTAAGAAATTATCTAATATATGTTGTAAAATTATGTTTTATAAAGTAAAAACAATATATCAGTAATTTCATATATATAAATAAAAGATCAGGGACAGACATCAATAAGACAGCAGCTGAGCTATCAACAACACAAAAATTTAAATGACATCTAGAGGTCAATATAAGGTCTACAACAATATATAGGTTTCTTAACAGTAGCTCTAGTCTAGAAAGTTGTGAATACATCAAACAGAAGTCTATCAAAGATCTGTTTAAAGAGACAATCTGTTATACTACACTCAAACACAGTACAAAATATATCATGTTGTTGTTCAAGAGGTAACAGTCTGCAGAACAACATGTCACCCAATACAGACACATTATTCTGACAAGGAGCTGACCATTGTTTGCTAATACTAACTAGCACTGTATGACACATTGTTAGCAAAGAAGCAACTTTAAAAGTCTTTGAAAATTGTCCGGGGCCATGAATTAAAACAAACGACCTCCTGTTCTCAAAGCAACCATGCCGCCAAAAAACCAAATAGGTGGTTTTACCGAAATAAGATAAAGGATTAGAACAATTAAAGACATTTTTCTCCATATATGCTCTGTAATTGCAGAGATAATAATGCAATTATCAATTGATGTTCTATTTAAAGCTGTGTCAGCTAGGTTGGTTAATCGGTGAGCAATTTTGTTAAAATTTGGAATCTAAACACCAAAAGGATGACTGTGTAACGGAAAGTAAACAGATAATAACACAATCATGTGACTGCAATATATGAGATAATAAGCCATAATATCTGCTGAAAGTTCATAATAAGTCACCTATTAAAGAATGCCTTGAAGTAAAGGTGAAATTCCCTCACTGTTTTCAGAGAATAAGAAGTGTAATTAGGACAACAGAATGATTTTGTCAATTGAAAACCCTTACAATTCAAAACAAAGTTAGGAATAAAACAGATAGAGCAAATTAGTATACACAATACCATCTTTATAAACATTAGAGTGTGTCACTGACACCCATTCATTTGTTTAGTAGAGTATAGTGTAAGCTTGGATAGGCAGAGAGAAGAAAACATCCTGATAAAAAAGGAGCAGGAATAAAATACAAAACTTTCACTTGATACCTCTGTTCAGTGTTGTGGATACTGATGATAAGTCTATTTCTAGAGGTAGCAATAAATTGCATTTCTTATTAAATAACACTGTACTAATTATACAGTTCATAAAACATATGTTGTTGGAAAATTTGACAGAATTCTAAATTTGATAGCTGTTAAAATATATAAGAATGATAATAGAGCATATCATTAAAACACTGTGATATCAGATGTCTGGACAGAAAAGCATCATCTTAAATTTTTGTTCACTGGGGAAAATTACTGATGAAAACATTCCTTCTTTCAGTTTGATATGCAAATCCATATATCTTATACTGCATCATAATTCTTGTTTATTCATTGACAAGGGATATCTATTGATTGTCAATAATATAAGTATAAGTAAAAAAACAGCAATTTTTCAGATGAGTCACACTAATTCTGACTAATCGGACAACATGCTCTCCAGTGTTTAGCGGAGGGTGCACAAATAATCGACAGAAATTTGCTACATGTACAAATACAACCCAATTTCAAGGCAAATTGCTGCATAACAATACCAAATATGAAAGTTTACAAAGAAATTATTAATAACAGATTTAAAAAGTATATTGATCTTTACTTTAAAGCATCAAACATTCTTTTTTAACCACTGTTTTGCATCAAAGGGACCAGACATTTTGTTAAATGAGTATAAAACTGAAATATAGTTTGCATTACTTCAGAACTATTTTTAATGATATGAAAACTTTACAATAGATAAAGAGATTTGGTTTTGAAGTTTACCTGTAGCAGTATAGGAACCTAATATAACGAATGGGTAACACATACTACTTTTACAGTGATGTTGTTTAGAGAGCCCATAAATTTAAATACAATCAATGTAAACTTGTTGATCCTAAAGAATAAACTTTTTCTTAAAGTTATCAATTTAACACTGTTGTAAGATCTTTAAATTTTGTCTTTATTGGTACAATTGTAATAACATTGGATTTGTTTTTATTAAATTAATACTTAACTAAATATGTATATCTTGTCCCATTGTTTTTCATTTATTGTTTTGAGCATTAAATTTTTTTTTTTAATTGTTTTTCGTTTTGTTGTGCAGGATCCTTTTGTAGCTAACTACAAGGTATGGGTTTTGCTTATTGTTGAAGTCTGTTTGTTAACCTATAGTTCATCACATCCACAGCCTTTGGTCTTTGGGATAGTTGTCTCATTGACTATCATTTATGTTGATATATTCTCTGAGAATTTCAATCCCATTATTCATCTGGTCAAAAATGGAGATGCTTAATCAAATGCCCTATGTTGTAATAAATAGTCCCTCTCTTCTAGTTACCAAACCCTTGCAACATCTCTTTGAGGAGTGACCTGTGGCAAGGCAAAATATCTTCCCTCATACCTTGTTTTCCCCATGGCCATGGCTATTTACATTTTTTTGTCCCTCATCTGTGTCAACACATTTTTTTAAATCTTTTGTTTATTTTG